GCTTCGCAAAGGCGTCCTGGTGACAGAGAAAGTGGCGGCATCGCTCGACACGCTCGTGGTTACTGCTTCGCCTTCAACTCGTCGTCCGGTTGCCATGATCGTAACTGCCCACACATCCACGCCCAGAACCCTTCCCACGCTAGGCGCGGAGCGTCCGAAACTCCGGCAACCGGCGCGCGCGGCGTTGGCCACGGCAACGGGGGAGGGCGCGGAGGAGAGGCGCGCGCCGCTGGCGAGGGCGGCGCGAGACCCAAGGCCGCTGGCTTCTTCACCCACGGGAAAGACAAATAGGGGTGCGGGCTCTCCCGCGTAGCGGGGGGGCCTACCTCGGATGGCAGCGCACCTGCGGCTAAATCGAACGGCAGCACGCCGGTCTACACGAGGTTGGCTCCAGGGCTATCAGCAGGTTCGAACCTGGGACAGGCAGGACGGGACTTTGTTACCGACGTCTTGGCATGCAGCTCGTCGAGCACTCAGTTGCGTCTTCGTCTAGAAGGACTTACACGTCAGGCTTCAACTCTTGGTGCACGTTTCGCAGGCTGACGGAGAAGCCCAAGTTCCTAGGGCAACGTGCCGGGGACCTTCATGTGTGGGAGTTGATAGACTTCGTAGCCTGGTGTTTCGAGTCTGAGGGTAATCTAGCGAGTACAATATCCGGAAAACTCACGGCTGTACAACATTTTCATAGGCTGGAAGCTTCTGTCGAGCTAGACTTGTCGTCTCCGATGTTGAAATGTGCGCTAAGGGGGATTGCGAGGAACCATGTGGCTGTGGGGACGGTACGCCGTGTGCGCCTGCCTGTGTCTTGGCGTATGCTGCTGGACGGGGAAAGCGCAAGCCAGAACTGGGGGGAAGGGGGCAGAGTGATGTGGCTGTGTCTGTGCTTGTCCTATCTCTTTATCACACGGTCTGATGAGGTGTTCGCGAATGATGCGGGCAGGGTGCATGAGGCACACTGTCTTACGAGGGCGGACGTAGCATTGTTTGCTGGCGAGACGCAATTAGTCTTTAGTCACTATCGTAGAGCAGACCGTGTCGAAATGAGGTTTAGAGGGCACAAGGCCGATCAAGAGCAGAAAGGAAACATACGGGTTCGTACGCGAGACGAAGTCACCGGACCGCAGTCAGGTGTGAGAGCACGCGGTGGCGCGGTGGCTCTTGTGGTGGAGCTGTTATCGTGTCATGCGACGTTCCCTGACTCCGCACCGTTGGCTTCGTACCGTAGTGGAAGAGCAGTGAGAGTAGTGAGGTATACTGCTGCCCTCCGTGCACTCAGAGAAGTGGTAGCGAGGTCGGGGCGTAACCCCCAGGAGTACGCGTTGCACTCGTTGCGAATTGGAGGCGCGACGGCTCTTGCATCGGGCGGAGACATCGCAGAACGAGTGATTCAGAGAGAAGGGAAGTGGAGGTCGGATGCATACAAGCCGTACGCGCGAAACAATGTAGAGGATTCGCGGCGAGTGTCACGGAAACTTACAGACGGCAGTAGGATCGTATCGAGACAGCCGGGGGAGGGGACCGTCTGGGGGAACGGATAGTTGACTTATTCGGTAGTCGTCCAGAAACTGACCTCGATGTGGGTGTTGTAGAATGGTGTGTACCATTTGAGGACTTGGTCAGTTTTGGGACTCCTGCGTTTGCAGTCGTAGTCCCCCGGCTAGTATTTGTGGGGAGAGAGATGGATTTGTAAGAGTTGACGCCGGCCTTTGCAGCTAACGCGGCCGGAGAGACGATGAGCGTTTCGTGCGTCTCTCTCCCCAACACGTAGCCTAGAAACCGAAGAAATAATGAAGCAATTCGAAAGAAAACAAAATAAAAGGAAAGGTTTGTTCGTCGAAGCAGATAGAATAAACTGGTGTTTATTTTGTAACAGTCGAATTAGAATTTGGCTTCATTTTCTACCGGAAACCCAGGGTCACGGTGTTTGGAATTATTAGTCTATAGTTGGGGGTGTCATTCCGTGATCGAGTCCACGCAGGGGCTGTAGCAAAGTCGGGTAACGTGTGACAGCTACAGAGCGCGTGAAGCAACGGAAGGACAGCAGCAGCCGCCTAACGCAGTAGCGGCGGCAGTTTAGAAAATCCCGCCCTCCCATCCCTTTTCTTTCGAAGGTGGGGGCATAAGTTCGGGAATATTCGGTATCTAGTCAGGTGTTGTAGAATGGTGTGTACCATTTGAGGACTTGGTCAGTTTTGGGACTCCTGCGTTTGCAGTCGTAGTCCCCCGGCTAGTATTTGTGGGGAGAGAGATGGATTTGTAAGAGTTGACGCCGGCCTTTGCAGCTAACGCGGCCGGAGAGACGATGAGCGTTTCGTGCGTCTCTCTCCCCAACACGTAGCCTAGAAACCGAAGAAATAATGAAGCAATTCGAAAGAAAACAAAATAAAGCGATATTTTTCTGAAAACGGAAGCATAAATAGAGGCGACGGCACAGTGTGCCAAGAGTCGCATTCTTACTCCAGGGCTCGACAACCACGAACGAACGTGTAGTACTTGACTTCAAGAGCATGGTGACACCTCGTATGCGCAATGTACAGGGTCAACGGGAGCTGCCAGCAAAGGGTAACCACTAGAGGCTTGCCCCCCATACCCCACAGAAGTGAAGCGCCCATCCTTCGTCGTCAACTTCGTCGTTGAAACAAACTCAAGGGAACAATAGAAGGCTTGAGAAAAAGGGATGGGGTCGCCAATGTACCGCGCAAGACACGGAAAAAACTACAGCGAAGATACCAAGCACAGCGACAACCCACGAAAATAGCCCCACCCTTCTTTGCACTTGCAAACAGAGTAGGACCACAACGCGAACGAGAACGACTCTCCGTGGACGTACCGGCAAGATTCTTCTCGTGCCATCTCGGTAGAACTTCGACACTTTCCTCCTCAGGAGCGGAATCGCTGTAGGTACCAGAACGAGAGCGATGCCACCCCCCAGCCCTAACCCCCATCCGAGCGAGGCCAGAACGCTGGTCTTGTCGAGGTGCATACTCTTCGTGCCCTTGTTGACAAAGACGAACACTTGTCGAAGGAGGAGATGCGGATCG